CCCCCCCCCCAACTACATTTTCACCGACTTGGTAAACGGTGTGTTAAATGTTTAGACTGTCTTACTTTTCGTATTTCAGGTAATTACCTGTGACTCTTCCGTTGAGTTGAGGCGATTTTTGAGAGCCGAGCAACTTACAATGGACATTGGAGGCCTCATCAAATACAATCATTTGGAATGGGTCCAACATAGAATGGTAAGAAAGTGGTCAAAGCTGTTAATGTGATTCTTCAGAAAGCAGAGATCGCCATCGCCGTTACCGTCCTATGGGCATAACAAGGGCTGAGCCATCTGACGGGTACCCGTTGTCTCTAGTGGCATTTTGAGATTGTAGAGGCCACTTAAGCAAACCACAAAGGATCGTACCACTGGAATCTGAATTATATTTATTTTGTATTTAGAATTTCAGCGCGGTGACAAGCAATACCTTGTGTACCCTGTGTTTTTGAGGTCCGAGCCCGGTTTTGCAGTAAATTACAAGCGACAAATTAGTCTGAACAGGCGCCTGTTATCAACCTGACAACAAATTAGTCAACCTAGCGCTCAACTGGGATCTTCCTACATCGCACCCCCGCTGGTCAACGTCCGCATGCCGACCCGCTGCTTTGCGGCGATCATCGCTATCCCTTCCCACTACGGATTCCTCGTATATCCTAATCACGATGGCCTGACAAATTAAGTAACTTGTTAGTCTATGAGTAGCTTGCAATGGCTTCATCTTTCTGTCCTAATTAGCCAGACAATTCTGAGTTCTAGTTCGTCTTCGTTTAGGCATACCTCCTCCGAAAAATTATCTGATTTCAAGGTTTTTCTACAGTTTATAACTTGAAATCGCCACAGGTGTAGAACATGATGTTTTGCTGATCTACCGATCGATTTAAACTGGTTATTACTGAAATTTTCATGATCTATCGTTATTATCTTCCATTTCGTTCGTTTACTATTGGACATTTCAGGATATCGAGCGTATGAAATCATCAGCATCGGCTATAGCACAGTCGTTAAGCGACTTTGGCCGAGTACTTCGTGAAACAGAACTCCCCAACGATGTCGAAACCACAGCCAGAATACTGCAGATTCAAACTGCGGAAAGGGATGCGATCAAGGTAACCCGAAATATTTTTTTAAATCCAACTTTCATCTGCATTGTTCTTGAGACTTGACGAGCCTTAAAAACTCTGAACAAGTTTAATAGAGATCCATGACAAGTTGTCAGGTTTAGTTCTTCATATGAGCCGTCAATCATTTTATAAATTCATGGCATGAGAGCCATTCATTAAAGTTAGATCGAGATGGAGATGGAAAAATCAGCCTGAAAATAAGGTTCAGTCACTTGGGCGGGGTTCCGGTCATTGAATTTTCTCCATTAGCTGCTCCTGAGTTTGTAAGGTTGGCTAAGGTCTTCGGAGTGCGAGAGCGGAACCACTGAAGGACCTGTAAGTGGCCAGCAACTACCAGCCTTTTGAAATGCGCCAAGCATTCTCTTACTTACGGGATGCTCAGACATTGGAATGCTATATACAGTAGCGCTCAAAAGTCTTCGGTGAAATGCTTCGACGCTTTTTCGTTCATAGCTTTTTAAATTTGGATATGTTTAGCTGTAGCATATTTCACCCTACCCAACACTATTTGACTGCGAAGCTGCAATATCCACAGATAGAGCAAGGTGTCTGTTGCGGTAGCAGATTTCGCTAAAAGAAAAGTTGTTGACGTCTGCACTTATTCGCACCTTATGTGCGTTTTTCTCATCCACTGTGTTCGGCATTACCACTCCTACACTTTGGACATGACAAAAAGGAAAAAGATTCTAGAAGGAACANAAATGCTTCGACGCTTTTTCGTTCATAGCTTTTTTCTTAGTAGACCAAATGACGCGAAATTTGGATATGTTTAGCTGTAGCATATTTCACCCTACCCAACACTAAACGACTGCGAAGCTGCAATATCCACAGATAGAGCAAGGTGTCTGTTGCGGTAGCAGATTTCGCTAAAAGAAAAGTTGTTGACGTCTGCACTTATTCGCACCTTATGTGCGTTTTTCTCATCCACTGTGTTCGGCATTACCACTCCTACACTTTGGACATGACAAAAAGGAAAAAGATTCTAGAAGGAACATCATCTGTATTTTCAGTCGATTTTGAGTTCATGCTCTTTGGAATATCTGGAACACGATCAGATTGCAAGTTAATAGTGGTAAATATTCACAATACACCCACGCTCCAAATATAGAAATTTCGCATGATTAGACCCAGTAAGAAAGGAATTACGACTAAAAAGTACGGCTGAAGAACCATTTCACCGAAGTATGAAGTATGACAACAAGTAACTGAATTCAGCACATCTGTGTATAATTGCTGTGACCACAGCATTGTATAGTATTTATGAAATCAAGAGACGACTTATTTACAGCACAAATAGTGAGAAAAGTGTAGACATGTTTCCCGGGTTTACAGGAAGACTTTCGAATATCCGTGCGTAAGGGATTGTCGTTGCTGCGTGCGGTACGACAGATCGAGTCGAAACCCAAACACGAACTGCTCAGTCCAACCAGATTGCACAATGTCACCGCCATCGAACGGATGCTCGTTCAACTAGGTATGTACCATTTTGTTAGAAATAGTTTAAGCTCTATTGATTTTCTGTTGATGCTGCCACGGGAATGCATTTTATGGCTTGCGTTATTCATAACCCGGTTGGACCTTCTCAAGGATACACGAAGCACCGATAACCTCCACATCCTTACAAAATGAAGGCTTGTGTACGAATAACCATCACTAAAACGTACTGAGTAAGTGATAAGTCTGGGTAGTAGTAATCAAAACTGAGTTCGTTTTGGGATGCGCCCTCGGCATTAGACTTTGAATGCCTATTTGGTCTATACAATGACTGTGCACAGGCCACCCATTGTACAGTCCAGTGTCCCTATCCCCTTAGACCAATCTGGTTCTAATTAATCGACCACCGAGGTATGAAAGGCTCGGTTGACCAGGGCGAGTATCGATCTTGTAATCTGTCCTCGGACCATACAATACAGCACTATCTTCGGTTATCTTTATCGGTTCCGATCTCTTCTGGTTCCTGGTAATGTTTCTAGTTAAGACCTGAAAAATGACTACCAACTTTCAACCACTCCTCGTTATGAGTGCGTACCAAGAGTGGCGATTGAAAATTCGTTTTTGGTCCTTTGGTCCACTCATTAACATAGTCCTATTATCGGAATTGAATCGATGGAAACCGCCTCATCCACTTCTGCCACATAACTAATTCAAAAGCGCTCGGCAGAGTGGAGAGCTAGAAATTCATCTTTCTTATGGAAAATTTCACAGCTTCGAGAAAATATGCATTACTTGTAATGAGAGTGCTTCCAAGCTTCTTGGAAACATGAGTGTTGGGAAACTAGCACGAAACTTCTAAATAGCAATAGAAAAGAGTTAGCAGAAATCACCACTGAAACTTCACAGGGTCTCTTGATAAGTACTTCCTTGGAATGTGCTGGTAGACCCAAGCTTTGTTTCACAAGTAACTTGGATGTGCAAGAGTGCACTAGTTTCACCTTTCCACTAAGTCAGTCACAAAATACCAGATTAAAAGCGATAAAGCCAAATATCAGTGCGGTTTCCAAAAATATGTAAAACGAAATTAAAATCTCTATATAATTTTTTCTACCATTTTTTTCCAAATTTGGAATTTTTAAATCATCTCCGTGACTCTTTCGCTACATGCATATGTATTTGAACAGATGGTTCTCGTAGAGGCGATTTTCAATCGATTTCATGGTATAATGGAGAAAGTTCGCGAAGGTTTTTCTAGTGTTGGTCCCTATAATCAGGTCAACGTATCGGATTCAGTTCGATTGAGTTCCATAGCATAGTATCTAGCTGAAAAAGCTTTCGTCAGATGGACTCCATCATTACCGTATTGGTTCACTTTTCTTATAAAATATAGATTCGTTCACCGCCAGTTCATCTAATTAGTTTTAAAACAAACATTGACTATATGATAAACTGACCAATACTGTCTACAAGAAATGAGCCTTCTCTTTTGAGATTTAATCGCTTGTTGAATCTTATTGCAAAAGTACACATAAGTAGTATTCAACCAAATAAAATAGGTAAAAACAGTTGGTAGGGTTTTTCGTTGAAGTTGTTGGAGGGATTTTTTTGGATTCATTGTTATGATCCATAGAAGTGCATGGATTCCTCTTTGTTACGCTCCATACATAGCTTTGAATCCCATGTCGATCAATAACGTCCATGCTCATGTTTGCTATTTTTACCAGAATTTCGTAATGTATTACAAAATTGCTCCCGCTTTTGTCACGAAATTGATAAATAGTAGTTATTTGATACGATGAAGCTGCAATGGCATTTGCAGGTTGAAACCTGCTGTTGCCCGTCATGCAAAAATTTATTTCTCTCTTTGCAGCGTTCGTGTCCAATTGCACTCTATTATTTTTCCCTTTTTTTTAATTTTCTCTTTATTCTTAATACAGTACATATTCTGTACTTTGCACAGCTGCATTGCCATTCATAGTTGAACTCTGGTAACTCGTTAACCACGCACAACTTACGCATCACTGCATCACTGAAATGCCTTTTCCCTTTTTCTATAATTCATCGTTCAGTGCTCTTACAAAGTTCCCATTTCGCTAATAGCTCTGAAATGAAATTGACTTCTGATGACAACTTACCGTGGTAGTAAGTCGTTTACTTGCCAAAATTCTGTCACCCACTCATCTACATAAGAGCGTTCGGGGATAGGTCAGTCTCCTAGGGATACGCTGCCCATAAACGACATCAAACAACACCATTTGGATGGGAATTTCGCTTCCAAGTTGGTTTACGGCGTGTTTTTAGGAGGTTTTAGTCAGTATTTTTCTTTAACCTGAATTTGTGGACCACCCTACAGCTTTGTGAGGCTTATAGGGTTTCGTAGAGGATACTTCAAGAAGACGACATATCTTCCATCGTTATGCCCTGCAATGGCAGCCATTCAGTTAACTAGAACCAGCTCAGCACTTGGTATTATGGTTTTCTGGCACAATAGTAGTCTAAAGACTAACTTTGAGTTACCAAGGTTGGGTTTAGGTAATGTACCAGGAACCTCTTTTCATTCTGGAAGGGTGCTTGAGGAAGGTCAACCTTGTGAGGACGCGCCGTATGACCGGCATTCGTGTACTTAAACTGTTGCCAATTACTATTCAGTTGTTTTGACCGTTGAGTTCTTTGAAAATTGAAGACCTCGCTACAAATCTTGTTCCAGCCTCCTTTTCGCATTAATGTCCTTAACAAGTTTGCTAGGTGAAATTAAGCAGTTTGCGACTCGCAGTTGATAAGCGAACCGATTCATGTCGACATTGCCTTCAATAAAATCGCCTAAAGTGATAAGTTTGAGACGCAAAGCTAGTTTT